ACCAAATGTAACGTCCGGCCCCGACATACATGGCCCTGAGCCCACTCTTCCTCCTAGGAGCGGTCCGACCAGCGTAGCAACCCGCTTGAACTTTCGTCCTCGCCCGTTCAAAAGCGGTTAATGAAGGTTACTACGCGTCCACGCCCCGGTATTTAAGTCGATCCAATAATTCGAGATTTCCGGTGAGGGTACTAAACACTGGTTGCACTGATATTTTCGCGATGCTACGATAAGAACCGTGAAAAGGTTGTTCAATTTGGCCTGCCCAATTCGGATGAACGAAGACAGCCACTGATAACCGCTTTGGATGCTACAAGATGGCGGCCTTATTCGCTCTGATAACACCGCCCATCTTTGGATTTTTAATTGGGCCCACTTTGGCCAATTAGGATGTTACACTAGGACTCATGGTGAGTGGACTCCAACTAACGCTCAAGCTCAGCCATCCAGGCGTGCTCCATCCGGAGGAAGCGGGACTTGCGGCACGACATCTCCTGTAGACCCTGCAAAAATGAGAAGCAAGCATGCTGAGGCAACCAATAAGAGACTAAGAGGTCAAGGACAAGCGCGGGAAGCTCACCTCCGCGGCGAGCTGTAGGTCGACCTTGACCAACTGTTGGACGAACTTAACCCGCTCCTAGGCATCCTCAAGCTTCACCGATAGCTTGGCGAGATCGGGCTCCATGGTGAGTCCTCTCCCCACAAGGATGTCCTAGAGCTGACACTCCTGTGAATCCCGAAGGACGAAATAAACCTTGGTCGGGTCCTTAGGGCAGGGCCACTCTAGGCAGTCTCCTTCGGCCTACTGGAGGACCCAACCTCCGACCGGACCACCGCCAGCTCCCGCGATGACACCGACAGCTCCACCACGTCATTCGCTCCATCGTCGGAAATGATCTCCACCACCTCGATTTCACGGGCCATCGACGGGCATTTGACTCTGTCCCAGCCGTGTCTCCGTCCGGCGCCTTTGGCTCCGACCGGGAGGGTGAGCCATGCAGCCCTCCGCCCAGCGAGGCAGGAAGCCTAATCTCCCTCTCCTCTTCCGCCGCAACCGGTGGAGGAGGGCCGTAAGGGACACCTCCGACGTAGCCTCCACCGTCACCACTAGGATCGCCGCCAGCATCGACGCCGCCGTAGCTGCCGTACTAAGCACAGCCTAGGGAGTGCCACCCCCAGAAGGGAAGGACTCGCCGCCACCACCCTGTTCCCCCCCGCCTCTCGTCACGGCGCACTGCAGGATGGGCCTCCAAACCTCCTGCATGGAAATTGGGGCGATACTCAACCCCGTCATCGTCTCGACCGCTGACAAAAAGTATGGGTCAGTCATACTCCAAAAAGACTCAATAGCAAGATCGAAAAGAAACAAAAAAGTCATACCGAGATGTAAGCGGTACAAATCTGAAACTCGATGGGCCCATAGGGCGAGGACCGCTCCGGCTGTGGCCCATGCCCCCTCACTTTGGCCGGGGTGGAGTCGACTCAACCGACTCCTGCCCAGCCTGTGAGTCACCACGGCCTTTGGCTCGGGGCACTCTGATCGGAGCAGCAGGTGGGGCATCCTCCCGCTATGAGTCACGCGCTGGCGACAGCCCCGGCGACACGTGGGTGTAGGCCCGCTCCTCTAACTGCCTGGCTTGCTCGATCGCGTCGCGGTAGGCGGGGACGAGACCGGCGATGCCACCGAAGGCCGTGGTGACCACGTCCGCTTCGCCTCCCATTTTCCGATGGCGTCCGCGCTCGCAGCACGCTTCCTCGACACGGGGATATCACCGCGCCTCTCCGCCTCCCTCTCACCGCCAGCAGACACGACCATGGGATCACGACGCTCCACCGAGGTCGCAACGACCTCCCGGCTCTCCTCCACCTCAGAGAAGATCATGTCATCCCCCACCTATGTGGGGTCCTCCGACTCGAGCTCTAACTCGACGTCGCTCCTATTTTCCATGCCCTTCATGTGCCGTGCGATCTCCTTCTCCTTCTCATACTTTCGCCGAGACTCCTCGGCTTTCTTCTTCTTCCTGGCATCCGCCGCCTCCTTCTGGGTGGCCTGCTGAGCCGTGCCCTCCGGCCCCTTCAGAAGGTGCAGTCGAGACTTGTAAGCATCAAGTCCCTACAAAACAGGTGACTCAAAATCAAAAAAGCAGGAAGGCAAAGGGGAAAGAACATGAAGTAAAGAGAAGGAAGCATACCAGTTTGGAAAACACCGAGGCGTTGAGAGGTCCAGGCTTTCCATCAACCTTCTCTTTAGGCTTCAGCTGTAGCACCCGGTCGAGGCGACTCCAGACCTCATTGTTCGGCAACTCCGGTGACGCACGATCAAGGTCCGTCGGGCAGAAGTACTTCGACATCGGTCGCACCCTCTCTGCTAATGGAGCAACCCAACGGCGGTAGAGGGTGTGGAACACCCACACCCTATCAAGGCCGCACCGCACGAGCTTCTAGAGCTCCGCCTCGATGATCTCCACCTTCTTCTTCTCCCGATAAGAAGGGCCCCATGACCAACTTTCCTGCCTCTCCGGCCTTCTGCCGGTGAACGTTGGGAACGACGCCTCCACCGAGTTTCTGATATAGAACCACTCCCCGTGCCACCCCCGGTTGGAGTCGCAGGGGATGTATGCGGGATGCGAGCTCACCGTGCTCGGCTATTTCTGCAGGGCGAAGCCCCCCACCGGCGTGGCCTCGGGTGGATCCCCCACAGACAAAGTTTGCCTAGAGAACAGGCACCGGAAGAAGTCCGCATGCGGCTCCATCCCGAGGAAGGCCTCGTAGATGGTGATGAAGCCAACGATATGCAGCACCCTAGTCGGATTGAGGTGTTGCAACTCCAAACCCCACTCATTAAGGATCTCGCGCAGGAACCAGTGTGCGGGGTATCCTAGCCCATGCTCGTGGAAGGTGAGGAAGGAAACCACCTCGCTAGGCCGAGGTTGCGGGAAATCCTCCCTCCCGGGAGCCCTCCAGTGCGCCACCTCATTCGGCGGCAGAAACCCCTTCACGGTGAAGGCCTCCAGCACCGACTCCCTCACAGTGGATGATCTCCAGCCCAACATTTTGCTCTGCGTTCGCGAATGGATTTGTGAGTTTTCCTCCTCTCCCTCGCTCTCTTCCTGTTCTCTCCTAGGAACCACCGTGGTACTCAGATGCTCTTGGCGAGAAGGAAGAAAGAGAAGAGATAGTAGATGAGAAATAGGCGAAGGAATGGGGCGAAAGCCCTCTCCCTTCTCCTACTTAAAGAAAAGGGTGCAACACTTGGGGAAGGCACGGCGATCGGGGAAAGGCAAAACGACGGAGGCAAAAAACCATCTCCCTTCCCCATTTAATGCAGATGGGATACGATGGGACGCGCCCTTACCGATGAGACGCACCCTGCCCGATGGAACGGTGCCTGATCAGACGGGACGTGGCCTGGGTATGGACCACTACTACCGCACGCCGGGCGCAAGAACCAAAGCACCACCACGCGCAGGCGGCTCTTCGCCTCCCCAGGAAGGACATGGAAAAGGCCCAAACTACGGGATCTCCGCTAGGAGAGACCAATGGGCTTCCTGAGTCTGATCGAACGGCTCAGGCAAACACTGAGAGACAGGTAAGGAGCAAAGGGACGCCCCATGTAGGCCATGCCGACTCCGTCACGAACGACGAGCACGGGTCCCGATTGGACATTTCTGATTGAAACTCTTCAAACCCCGTCACTCGAGTCATCAAGGTAACACTACCGACCCCCGTTATTTCTTTATATAATTATTTATACATTCATACACGCATTCATTCCATACGCCCGTGCCCCCTGGATGATTCGGGCCCTGAATCGCCCGGGGGCTCGGGAACTTAGGCATCGCACGTGCGGCGAAATGCATCACAACACTCCGTGTTGCGTCACGAAGCGACAGTTGCCTCATTCAACATGAGCAACGACCGACCGGGGTTCGAAGGTCGGCTCACAAAGGGCTCGAGGCTGCCTCGCGTCAAATAGAGCCACGGGAGAAAACGCAGATGTGCCCCGTGCGGCCCTCGCCCAGTCTGTCCCGAAGCGGACAGGGTCATCTCAACCTTCTCATTCGATCCTAAACCTCTCGCCAAACCCACATAATCTACATCGAGGGAGGCCAGCAGGACACCCGGGTCGGTCTCCGGAACTACCCAGGCATCTGTCGGGTTGCAGGTAAAGGAGCAGTGGAATGTCACAAGAGGGCTATGCCAACCCCGTCACGAACGACGGACCCGGATTCCACTCGATCATACCCGTTAGCGAGCTCACCGAGCACGTTACTTGAGCCTTAGCGATCGAGGCAAGCGACAAAGCTTAGCCCCTCCAATTGTGAGAAACCAAGGACGGGGTAACACACAACTCAAACCGACCTCTATCAAGCCCAACGGGGCTCGAGGGCTCAAGATACCCAAACGCCTGGGTCTGCGACCCCGATCTCGCCGCATCCCTCGGCTACGCCTCGACTGCACTCCAAACACCTGGGTCTGTGAGCTCGAACTCGCTCCACGAGGCTTTGACCTTTGGGTTGCAATTTGGTGGGGATAGCATTTGTCAAAAGATTATTTGCCGTTCTGATATTCGGAGTTTTGTTATCAATAATTTGTCTCTATGTATTTATTTTTATCAATGATTAAATAATTCGTATATCAACATCAGTGAATCTCCAAAATGAAACCAGTTACTACTTGAATTCAGAGCCGTCCCTGTAAATTCTTGAGTCAGCAGGCGGATGAAAGCGAAACACAATTTTCTCCATCCAGCCCCCTTAAGATCTCGGAAATAGCGAAACTGGGGCGCTCCGTCGAGGCCTTTAAATGCCGGCACAGATGTTGGCCGGAGCAGGACGCCACGAGGCGAACAACCAACTGCTTCCTTCCCATCCGCGCCGCCGCCTACGACGACCACTTCACGTGCCCAATCTCTCTCCGCCAGAAGTGTTCACGGCTCCATCCTCTCGAGAGTCTAGGCCCATCTCCCGAAGCCGCTAGCGCAGAAAACGACCCTACCTATGGAGGCGAAGAAGAAGTCGGCCCCCGCCGCTGCCGGAGCCGCGGCGCCGCCGCCGCCGGCTAACGGGTACTTCAGCACCGTCTTCTCCGCGTCGCCTGCGGTACGTACGGGCCGTCTCTTCACGCCATCCTTCTGATCCTTTGCTCTCAGATTCTTGGGGTCTCAGGAAATTTTTTCATGATTAATTAGTGAGTTGGTGCGATTTGCTGATGATTCCGTTACTATGTTGCGATTTGCGGAGGGAGCTCAACGGTTTCTCGATTTATTTAACTCTGATGAGGGATAATTTTGATAATAGAGGAGCTATAGGGTTCTGCTGCATAATCTATTTGGATAATATGACGTTGACATTGTGACTTTGTTTTGCATTCAAGGGGAGCGCAAATGACGCAAAGCAGTCGGACTTGTACACGATGCTGAACAAGCAGAGCTCCAGAGGGCAGAATGGCAGTAGCATTACAGGTAGTTCTTGGCACTCCTGTCAATTTGATATTTCTCTTCGATTTCGGTTCCGTTCATAAGCAAAGCGATACTTAAAACCTATTTTTTGACCATATTAGCTTAGAATTAATCTAGAGCATTGATGTAACTATGGAAGTTTAAATTCGTGCTCAGATGGCAAATCCCACGGCCGCCCTACTTACAAGGATGCAAAACATGCTTATCCAAATGACTCATCAGAATCCCCTTACTTTGGCTCATCCGTGCATTACGGTGGTCGGGAGTTCTACAGCAGCACTTTACAGAAGCAACCAGCCAATGAACCCCAAACAAATGTACGTGTAGAATTTTTTTATATATATAAGTATACATACAGATCATTTGGAGCACTTAAGTCTAATATTTATTTTGAATTTTAAATCCAGTACAAGGAGGACAACCCGGATGGCTCTGCTACTAGAGGTGATTGGTGGCAAGGTATCATTGTATTAATTTGTGTATTACCTTGAGTATACATGGATGCACATACACTGACTTGCTAGACTGCACTTTCAGGTTCACTTTATTACTGAATAATCTGCTGGGAACTCTCCTTTTTGTGAACAAGGTATACCATATATAGGACACTTCATAGTTTCCAATTCGTGCTTTCCGTTAGTTGTGGTGTTTAGGCTATGCTTGCATCACCGGTGCCACTCACTTTGTTGGCGCCCCATTTTGAGTTATGTCTTATTGTCAACAACATCATACAGTTGTATTTAGTTTGTTAGCAGCAACACTTTAACCCGTGCTTACATCTTAATCAGCCTAGACTATATACTTGGAGTTCAGCAGTTGTTCGAATTTTTTATAGCAAATGGTAGTTTGATAGTCTTCATACGAGGAACCTAATTGTGAGATATGATGTAGAACCTAAAGTCTTATCAATTTTTCTGTCTCCAGGGGTACTGCCCTTGATCATCTATGCAGCTTAGGTATCCTATTCCAATCTTAGGAAGTTCAAAACATATCTTCCTTTTTCCTTTTCAAGAAAACATATCTTTCTTTTATGTTTTGTTTCAGTATCCCGGCTCCATTCTGATTTCTGAAAAAATAGTCACAAAAGTCTGTACAAGAGTTACTTGCTAGTTGAATCCGAGACGGATTGCATGGTAGTGGAGGTTGACAATGATGGCTGTAAGATAAAACTATCAACTTTTTATGAAGTGTAAGCTTTAATTAACTAGTAGAAAGTTTATCTTAGCAGGCTAGAACAGGTTACATCACCATTAGTCTTTACCTCCTAGCCTAAAGTACCATCTCGTACAGCCCCACTAGCTTTGGAAGCAAACATACTTTTCTGTACTTTGTGATGGTTGAAGTGAACTTCAGAGCTTGGTGGATTAGTTGTTCTAAATCTCAATTCATGGCAAGGAGTATTGCATCTCTTGCAAGTGTTAGCTTATAATTAAGATGCTGGCAAGTGTTACTTGTCAAGAAAAACAGTAGCAGAGTAGAGTTTCAATCTTTCTTGAACCACTTTAGTGGTGTTGTGAGATTGTGACAATGGTTGGTGCCCAAAGCATTTCAAAGCCATTATGAACTTGCACAGAAAAACAGTAGCAGAGTAGAAGGGCGGGCCTGGTGCAAGCAGTAGAGTCTTACTGCCTGTGACCGGAAGGTCCCGGGTTCGAGTCGCGGTCTCCTTGCATTGCATAGGCAAGGGTAAGGCTTGCCACTAACACCCTTCCTCATACCCCACATAGAGCGGGAGCTCTCTGCATTGGGTACGCCCCTTTATGAACTTGCACAGTTTATCAGATGTTTCATTACTAGAAAATTGAAAGCCTGGGTACATTGGATTATTGTAGTGTATGTAAAGAGTGCATGCATTACCTGGAAGGTATATATGGCACTAAGGGTAACAGTGACACATAGGACTTAATCTGTTTAGAACAGCTTACCATGACAGCTTGCACTTTCTTGAATCCTAGCATCCCGCTACCCCTGTTACAGCAATGCTTTCTCAATGGCCACATTATTTTATTCACATCCTATTCTCCTTTTGCTTTTCAGGAATAAAAGTAGTAGAGCTGAGCTTGGTTTGTTGTAGTGTTGGAACTGTTGGTGCGAGCCGTCAGGCATGGATCGAAAGTAATAGTTGTAATTGTTGGAAGTTGGCGTCGGGACTACATCCATCCGGTCGGTGGAGGCATCACACCTGGCCAGATGTGGATGTAGGCTGTGTCCTTTTGTGTTCCTGTTTTCCCCCTGTGTGTTCTTGTGGTTTAGATGCAGCCGTGCAGTACTGAACTTACTAATGGACTGGTAGGTCAGCCTGAAGTAGTTTGATAAAGCAGTTGCCAAAGAGTCGCAGCTCGCAGGATGGCCTGCTACATGCCTACATGTAACGTGTGCATCCTTGTTCCTGCTATCTTTCGGAAAGATTTGGAGTGTGCATACTCTGTTCCTACTATTCTTACTCGTACTTGTACATGACTTTGCTCAGACAGTATTCTTGGCGAGGCTACGAGGGTTTCCGTAAGACCGTAATCGCTGCAAATGTTATCTCACGGGCGCGCGCGGCATACTGGTTCAAGAGGCCTCGACCTCGAGCCCTCGACCCGGCCTGGGCCGAATTCACACATGTAATTGGCTTTGGATGTTGGAAGGGGGTGAGATGGAGTTGGGTACTTGGGTTCTTAAAACTGGCCCGGCTGTGACTGTGAACCAGGCTTTCTATGTCCGTTCGTTATGGACTGGGCTTCGTACTTTCGTTAGCGGGTCAAAAATCGGGCACGGTTACTCGCGCGACAGGCTGACAGCCGACAAACAGTGTCTTGCCAGTGGCGACGGCGGGGTGCTTTGATCTGATGAACATCTGATAGAAACTCTCTTTAACATGACACCAAGATCTACGTGACACCGTGCCAAGCATTACAAGCGGAGGGCGTCGAACGGCAACAAGAGAAACCGCCCTCGGATGCTACAGTGATACACACTACTGCACGCCGCAAATTTTACTCATCTGTCATCTGAACCCAGAGCGTGTGCCCTCCTGGGTCTTCACATCTCTGCTGTGACAGCCGTCGGGACATCGAGCATGGCGCTGCCGACCACCATCCCCTTGACGACGACCTCCACGCCAGCGCGGTCAGCCGCGGACGCCGCTGTCCTCTTAGCTCCGGCGGCCCCCTTGACGTGGTGCGACCGGCGGTCGACCAGCAGGGCCCTCCCGATCTTGGACGGGCTCGACAGCTGCGCCGGCGAGAAGCTCGGCGTGGTGTACGTTGCGTAGGGCGTGCCCGAGGCGGGCACCACCGTGGCCTGCTTGCTGCTGCTGTTGCTCTTGCAGGCGATCTTCGCGCCCGTGGCCGAGCCGGCAGACGGAATGCTATCTGACTGCTTGCTCAGCTCGTCGACGTTGAGCAGGTCGTCGATCCGTGCGATGATGTTGGAGGCCAGGCTCTCCAGGACCCTCGAGTAGCTCTCGAGGATCGATTTCCCCACGTCCTGAAGACCATGAGAGAGAGAGAAAAAGGTGTTTAGACATCCATTCGCTGAACTTTCGTTGCCGCAAGCAAATCATTCTGAAAGCATTCTGAAAGACGCGATCGAACCTTGTTGTACTGAATCTTGCTCATGTCCAAGCTGGTCTGTGTGAGCCCGGGGAACCGCTGCTTCAGGGATATCAGCAACCCCTCCGCGCGCTCGGCGAGCAGGTCTCTCTTCTCCGTGTCCATGATCATGCCCTTCACGATGCCCCAGGACGACTTGGCGCCCGCGCGGCTCGCCGGCTTCGCGGCGCCGCCGCCGCCGCCCCTCCAGCGCCACACGTAGATGGAGGCCTCGACGCGGTTGGCGATCTCCAGCGCCTGGTACTCCGACGACAGGTCGAGGCAGTCGAGGAGGCAGTCCGGGGAGAAGTGGTCCGAGGTGATGTACCGGTATATGACGTCGCCCAACGTCGCGCGCCCGTTCTGACACGTCCAAACGTTGAATCAAAGAAAGCACCGTGTCAGCTTCAAAGGTATACCGAACGATCGACAGAACGTTCAGACATCGTGTCATGATCGCTGAGCTCTGAACGACCTTTGGCAGCGAGTCGAGGTAGGAGTCCGGCACGTCCATCTCGGCCAAGGCGTTGCTGTTGATGGCCATGGCGGCCTTCAGGATCTGGTTGGCGCAGTCGCGCCGGTGCTCGACCTGCCTCCGGGTGGCCTCGCAGAGGCCGCCCTGGGGCACGCGGGGCACCGGGAGCCACCACTTGTCGTCGCGGCGGTGGAACGTTCTCCGGTAGGACGCGGAACCGTCGCAGTCCGGCGCGCAGATGCCCTGGTCGACGTACCAGAATTCGACGTCTCTGAATCCTTCCAGGATCTCCTGGAAGCAGAGGCTTGTCAGTCTGTACTCAGTAGGAAATGTTCCTCGTTTGTTCAGAAGAATTGTGAATAGGGAGGGATGTTGAACTCACGAGGAGCATGTTGTCTAGCTTCCGTAGTGCCGGCAGGTTGATGTACAGATCAGACCGTGGCCTGCTTGTCATGATCTGAAAAATTGAGAGTCGCCAAGTATTAGTCAGTTTACGATGCTCGCATCAACATTGTTTCATATCTCTTTTTTTTACTTTTATAATGCATCTCGTGGTTACTGTTTAGCAGATAATCCTAGGAATGGACACGGCATTTGAATTGGCTAAGTTTGATGAAACATGCACAAGTGACCGACCAAAACGGACATCGCATTCATGTGCTCTTTACTCTTTTCTTGATAAGAGCTCTTTACTTTCTTTGGACCTCAGACATCACGCGCTTAACTGTCCCTTTTTAATACACTAGATTACTTAGGTATCAAACGGCTAAGTACGTATTTAATGGCTCCGATCCAGCACCATGAAGATTCAAATCACCAAAGATTTTGCGCTTAATCACACATGGTTAGGACGCCGGACGCTGCAATTGCTCAAGAGAAACTTCACAGGTACACTACTGGATTTATATCAATGTTTCTTAGAGATGAACTTGTTCCTGAAATCATATGCAGCCTACAAACTGAGGTACTACCTAAGATTTTACCATGCTGCAAAAGTATGCCGGGTAATGATGGTTAATTCTACACAATTTTTTTTTAGAAAGGAAGGCAAAAGATTTTTATTAGTGTCAGCCCAGTTTTTTTAATAATTCTACACAAATTCACTAGTACCTTTTTAGATAAAGACACAATTTTACTACTGGTGCCTATCTTAATTAATTTCAGAGTGTGCTCAATTTATTAGTTAGTGACTTAGTGCGTCAGTTGTTGTTGTTGTCAGTTAATTACCTCAAGCATTGTACCATCCGGGAACGTCTGCCACGTGGGAACGAGCTCGACGATGTGGTCGCTGACGCAGAGCAGCCAGTCCATCTCCCGCCGCCACATGGCCTTCTTCTCCGGCAGCAGAGGCTCCAGCCTCCAGAGCTGGCCGAATATCGTCGCTGCAAACACACGGGGTGCGCACAACGGCATCAAGAGCAAGTCTAAACTCCATTGCAATTGTCGTCCAAGAAAGCATAATGCAATGCAACCGGGCTGCAAGCCTGCAACCAACCAATGAATGCAAAGCTAACCAACAAGTGGTTTTGGTCACACAGACACACGTACCGCAGAGGTTGGTGATGGCGTTGGAGATGGCGAGCGCGGTGCAGACGCCCTTGCCGCTCCCGGACATGTCCTCGCCGAGCAGCAGCTTCGAGAACCTCTCCTTCATCATCTCCATCTCTGGCAATTTCGCAGCAGCAGCACGACGGTGAGATCGACGACCGACCGCTGCTATAGTAGTCCAGATTGGACACTGCATTGCACGTCCGTCCAAGACCAAATGGTAGGATTCGCGTTGTACTGCGTACCTGAGGCTCTCTGCCTGTAGGCCGCGTCGACGCCGCCGCGCGGCGGCTTTTCCTCCTTGCCGTCGTCAGCCCCGCCCGCGACGTCGGCCGACACTACCGACACGCAGGTCTTGATGGCCACCTTATTCTGCCACTCGTCGGGCGGGGAGTAAGTGTAGGAGACGGTGGAGGCGGCCTCGGAGCTGGCGCTGGAGCTGCTCCCGCGGCGCCCCTCTTCGTCGGCCGAGTCCGCCGTCAGCGCCTCGCTCGCCGCCCTCTCCTCCTCCGCCTCCCCATCCTCGCCCGCGCCCACGCTACCTCTCGCCATCCCCGGTCGTGGATGTGGCTGTCTCTATGAGGATGCGTCGTTTATTTGCTGGGAGCTAGCACGAGGGTGGAGGCTCAGACTCCGACTAGACACGCCGTCTTCGCCGGCGACTACCCTCGTGGCGTGCGGCGAGAGGGCAGGCTGGATCCTCGTGGGGTGTGGTGGATGCGATGAAAGAGACGGGTGTGTGCGAGTGAGAGAGAGGAGAGTAATTTAAATAAAGGCTTAAAAGAAGCGAAAGGCAGGCGGGCGAGGGAGGAGGAGTGACCGTTGGGTTTTGAGTTGTCTTGGTGGGCTTCCGTCCGGCCGCGCCCGCCAGCTTCTCCGCCCACGAGGCCACCCGGCCACCACCACCCCCGTCTTTGGTAGGGTTTGGTCGGCGCAGGGTTGCAGGGTTTCGTCGGCGCCGGCGTGACAGCCACGCCGGGACCGTCTGGTGCGTCGTCGCTACGTATGGACTGGCTCTTTCGTTCTCTCTCTCTCTCTCTCTCTCTCCTCTCAACGTACGTGTTTGCCGTTGCACCTGGCACGCTGTCTTTGCAGGTGGCCCATGTGGATGGGGGGAGGATGGGTTGCTCTGTCTGCAAGCCACGGAAATTCCGAGGAGGCAAAAGGACCGTTCTTTTGGTGATTCCTCGTTACAGTGTCCAGGAGTTTGCTAGTTGGTTTTTGGGTTGATAAGTTCGACTGATGTTGATTTGTTGTGAGAGAAAAATATTGTTGACTGACTGATAAACGCTGGTTAAAATTAACAAACGAATAGGCTGTTTGATGGTGCGTTCAACGTGATCGATGAAACGGTCAATTAGAGCAGTATATACATGGATATTATGATACTATATTCGGCGGTGACGTGCCCGCAACGGAGTGCGCCCAGTGACCTGCAGCGAGCTCGCTGGTGCAAACTCGTCTTCTGGACACGTTCGACGGTGAGTTGCATGGGGTTTTTGCATCGACAGGGAGAAGGAGAAGCAAAGCAATTTGGTACCGACTGAGGTGGGCTTCAGCTCCGGTTCCTGTAGGAGCCCTACCAAACGCCCAGTTAAAAAAGAGCTTCATCGGAGGAGCCCATTGGGAGCCAGAGCCATTTCTCTGAAGGATTGATGGAGCCCAAATTTGTGGCTTCATGTGGCTCCGTCCGGGGTCACGAGCACAAAGACTCGGTGCCCTCCTCTCTTAGGCAAGCTACGTTTCTCGCTCGCCTCCACCATGTCTGCCGATATGCCATGCCGATGCTGGCGCGGTGCTTAGCGGCCGGGTGCTCCGGACAAGGCTGGCTCGAAGCGTGACACCTTGTGGTTCCGCCTCAGCAGGCACGTGGCCTCGCAGCAGGCGATGTGCGCCGCTGCCGCCCTGGACGAGCAGCAGCAGCCATGGTTGTGCTATGTGTCTCAAGGAAGAAGGACTTCTTGTAAAATAGACCCTGCCAAATCTCACAACTTCTCTATCAAATAACCCCTTCAATCTTTTATGGCGTTGAATTACAGTCCAAGCATATGTTCTAATAATTCTTACCGGTGTATAACTATATCAAATACACTACTGTATGATAAAAAACAATTATAAAGGGCACTGTGGACATTTGATCTCTTTCACTTATTTTTAAACAACAGAAGAAGTCGTTTTGCGAGCTTTTCTAGATTTAAATTTAATTTTTGTTAATTTTGGACAATCGTATTACAAAGTGACATCAAGCATAAATTATATGTAGAACCAATTAAATAAATCAGGGGCACTATCTCATCCATTCCAGAAAAATAGGAGGAGCTATTTTACCAAACTTTTTTTCAGAACGGCTTCTGCTCCTCGAGAGAAGCTGTTTTTTTAGAGGAGCCAGAACCATTTTCAGATGAGCTAGACTTCTGCCAAACATGCCCTGAGAGAGCGAGAGGTGTAGAGCAATTCGAACGCGCGATAGTACTCGTACACGGAGTAGTACAACCCGAGAAGAGATGCTCATCGGGCAAATGAGCCAAAGGGTTTCAAAATCTGGGTTTGAAAACGCCGATCGAGACAAAGACGGAAGCCGAAGAAAGGCTGCGATGGATAGGTAGGGCTACTAGGGCCATGTTTAGTTGCCTGAATTTGGCGCCGCCAAAAACACTGTAGTACAATGTAGCTGCACTGTAGTATTCGTTTGTATTTGGTAATAATTGTTCAATCGTTGACTAATTATGTTCAAAACGTTCGTCTGGTAGAGTACAACCAAACTGTGCAATTAGTTTTTGATTTCGTCAACATTTAGTACTCTATACATATACCGCAAGTTTGATGTGATGAGAAATCTTTTTTTTTACACTGTGTCAAAGTTGGGAATTTAGGGAGAACTAATATGGCCTAGGACGCATCTACAACGTCAGGCAGGCAAAGCGCCTTGCGTTTGACTCGGTAACCCCGCGCGGCGGCAGCCGGCAGCGGCAGGACCGCACCGCAGGATTGTCCTTTCGCCGGCGCATGCAAAATCCTGCGCGTGTCGTTTCCCTGTCCGTCGCCCGGTCGCCCCCACACGCTGCCCCTGCTGCCCCAGTCCCCACAAGAGCAACTGGTAATCAGGATATAGGATCTTGCACCAACCATGGACTCGATCGCTTAGGATTAATAGCGACTCACTTCTGCTCCAAGCAAAGAGCGAGTGCTGAGGAACCGCAAGCAACGGGCGGAAATGATACTCACTTTGGCCCACCCAGACCCGGAAGGCGCCTTTGATACAGCAGTATGCAGGAGCAGTATCAGCTTTGCTCGGCAGCCGGCAGGCCGTCGGCATTAGCTTTAAGTCTTTAACAGATACTCGGAGGTTTCTTAATCGAGCTGAAATGTACTAGGATGCTACTGTGCAGGCGGCAGACAGTAGCAATCCTCCTGATACTGTACTACAGACCGGTGCAGTCCTTGCACGGCCATTCCAGCACGTTGCCAAACAAACACTGGCCGTCTTCGCTTGAGCTTATTCAGAACTACTTTTCAGTGTTTTTCTCTCATAATATTTTAGCATAAGCATCAGTATAAGTCAAATTTCAACATCAGCGAACAAGGTGACTGTCTCAACAGTGTCAAACAAACATTGTGGCTACGCCGAATTCACTAGTCTGTCTCGATAGTCACTCGTCACATGTCAAGTACACACTCGCCATGGCCAGTTCTTGTAGACTTTGTAGGAAGTCAAAGGTATGTTCGCTTCAACTTATAAGCCGTACCTTTTCAGTAAAATAATATTGTTTTTCTCTCACAACAAATCAACATCAGCATCGTATCAGCCGTTTTTCCAACCAGCCGAACAGAGCCAAAGTCCCCGGCATAGCGTGCGGTAACGGGAGGACAAGAGAATCGCCATTACGAGAACTCCAAGCCGAATGTCAAAGAGAAGACGACCCTTTGCCTAAAAGAATGTTCCACGAGAGTACTCCTATACGAGTACCACTTGTGCAGACAGGGGCTACGCGTCAAGTCCAGCACCCCACAACCACAAGTAGTCAGGGTTCGAGAGCCCCAAGGCCGCCCGCCCGGCCGCCCAAGGGCAAATCGTACGTGCGGCACGCAGGCACTGGCTCACTGGTTCGTCCCGTCTCCCCCTGTCGGGACTCCTCGCCTCGCCCGGGGACGGAGTGGGTGCGTCGTCGCCGGCGAGAGCCCGTCGCGAGGTGCGGCCTGCTACTGCTGGCCCGGAATCCGATTCGTCCGTCTACGTGGCGCCGGGGAGATTGGCCATAACGGCGTCGGGGCCCTGCTGCTAAGACAGTCCTAAGACCTGTTGAGATCACATGGTTAAAATTTAGCCACTAATTTTAGATTACTTTAGCTTTTGAAGCTATGTAAATGATGTCTAAGTTTAGTCAATCTCACATAAAAATCATTAGTTTATTAAACCACACAAGTGAGCTAAAGTAGTCTAAAATTTAGTCTTTTAACTTTAGACAACTAAACAACTAAATTTTAATCTATAGAATCAAACAGAGTCTAATTTGCTTTTTTTAAAGAAAAGCTGCAAAGGATCTCGGGAGGATGTTCTATTTTGTCTTTTGGTTATCGCAGCCTCTACTAAGGCCAACTATTTTGCGAGCCCAAACTACATGGGTTCTGCTGACTGCTAAGATCTATACTAGTTATCTTCTTTAAAAATCTTTGAGCTGTTGGACCCATTAAGTGCCAGAGAAAAGACATTCTTCACTTGGAAGGCTTGAATATAAGCGCCTGCTTGAATTTGTTTGGTCGATAAGATTAAATTTGATTTTATGTGAAAAAAATCATTCGATTCATGAAAAAGCCTTTGTCATTGAAGATTATATATTAATCATCTAGCCTTTGTCATTGTTTGCCTAGGTTTTAGCACTTAAAAAGTATTCCATGACAAGCATGAAAACCATCATCCAAAGCCTTGTATGTATCCAGTGACCATCATCCAGATTTGCGTGCCACACAGGCGGCGGAGACACTACCACATCACATCAGTACCATGGCCTACCAATTAGTTACACCAAAGAAGAACGTTGCAAACCGCCCCCCCAAAAGATAGAGGGAAATGATTCTGAAATAAAGTGCCAGTGGCTGCTTTCAGAAAACATACGTTATAGTTGGTAGGTTCATGTTTTCAAGTTTGAATGTCAGTATATGGAGTTATGGACCACCACAATTTGGGGGGAAATGCTTCGCCTACTCATGCCAGCAATACTGAAGTGCAAGACACTTCAGGTAAGTTTTTTATTTTTGTTTTTGATGAATCCTGTTTAAACAAAAACAAGGACATGCAATGCAAACGGCAGCAGAGTAAGAAACGATTAAAAAATGCCCTTCTTTTCTCTGATAACTATCAAAGCACCATTCATAAATATATCAGGCAAGAAGACAGTGGAGAAAGGTTTGTCGCAAGAAAAAAGAATGGAAGGGAAGAAACACGTCCGAAACGTTTGGAGTAGGGCAGTAGGCTAAGAAAGTCTTGTCTCGCAATAAAAAAAAAAAGAAAGGAGGCGAGAAACACGTTCGAATTGTTTTTTAGTAGATTAAGG